TCACACGTCTATATAAATCTTTATAGAAAGTCCTAAAATATGATAAAGTCTTCTAAACAAATCTAAAATTAATGACTTCTAGCTTTAAAAGTTGCAATCTCTCTCAATTTCTTTTCATTAATTTTTCCTCCACTCTCACCGCTTCTCACCAACTCTTTCTCTCCCTTCCAGTCTCATTGTCTTGCTCTAGTCTTTGTCCGTATGTTCAGTTATATTGTTATTTTTTTAAAACTTTATTCAATTTATTTATCTATAAGATCTTGATATCACAATTACACCCAATTCATTGTTTGATCCTGCTCAATCCCAAAACCACTAAAACTTTGAAAATAAATCATATTGTAAATTTCTGTAAAATATTTTCTCGCTTTAATCCCCAATTTATGTTGGGCCGCCCTTGTATTTTTTTTTTTTGTATGAAAATGTATGACACTCAGTTAAGGTTCCTAAAAACGGTGAAACAGATATTAAAAAAAAAAGAAAAGAACAAAATATGTTATAAGTTAATCAAGCAAAATTTAATAAAAAATAATAAGAAAATATTGAAAACTGACTTGTGTATTTAATAAGAAAATAACAAGCAAAATTTAAATATTTACACTTAATAACTATAAAGTTTGAGCTATATACTCAAAATCAAATAAGTTCTCCAAAGTGTAGCAACAAAAAGCTTTAAGCCCATTTAGCCAAGAGAGACATGAAGCCAGCACCAAAGAGGAGGGAAACATTAGCCTGTAACTGAAGCTTTCCATTGTTCTGCATTCTTGGGTTCATAAAATCTGCTGAGAGAAGATCCACAAGTGCCATATAGATCAATATCTCTACTAATGCTGCGTTTAAAACCCCTTCAACGATCAGAGCAGTTGGGCTGTTCTGCTTGTAAATGTTTGTTATTCCAATGCCAATTAAGATACCAATCGGGTTTGTCAGAGAGAAGAACACCAACATTATTGCAACAACCCAAAATTTGAATTTTTCCTAGAGAAGTCCAAAAGAAAACATAAAGTATTTACTGCTTGATGTGTTAATTTTGACTTTGAATCACAAGCTTTTGATTGTTAGACTAAGATCTCTTCCGATCTATGTTCTTTCTGTTTTTCTTCCTATTGAGAATTTTTGTGCAACCTATTATTCACAAGAAGGTTCCTCGCTTATTAATGATAAATGATTTGTCAAGAAAAAAATAGAGGAAAAATTTATTTGAGGGGATCTAGATTGTGATCTTGGCTATACATGATACGTACTGGTCCATCCTCAAAGGTCCCATCCACATAAAAAAAAAATAATATAATTTTAATTTAATTTGATGAGCCACCAAAGGATCATATCCATATTAAGTCTATGTAATAAAAAAAAACTATATTACAAGACTTAGGCAAGATGTGAGTAACCCCAAAAATTAATTAAGCTAAAATGATGTTGTAAACATTTCCAATGGATGTCAATTTAAAAGTTTATGGTGTAATTCAAAAGCTGAAAACCAAGCCTAGGGCCTATAGACTATAACTTTAGACAAAAAAAAAAAAGAATGAAAGTTAAATTGAGTAGTGGTGTTGATACCTGAGCTATGCATCCACCAAGTCCCATGCCCTCAAAAAATTGATGAAATGTCAAGGCAGCCACAAGAGGCCTTATGGTTTTTGGAGTTTCAGAAGCACCCAAGGAAATTCCAATAATTACAGAGTGGACTATAATCCCCAACTCCAAAACTTACAATATAACACCAATCATCAGTCACAATATATATATGTACAAATATTTACATGGCATCATTTTATTGGGACTTAATTTTATGATTGAATTACTACATATCATTACTAATATACATATTCAAGTAATTGTTGTATTCTTTCCCCCTTAAAGAAATATCATTCCCGAAATTCACACACAACATGCACAAATAACAACATGTATATGTAATATATCATATAATACTACATGACTATAGGAATGTACCTTCATCCATAAACAAAAACAAATAACTGGCACGTATAGCGTCTGCACGCTTTCATGTCACCTCCTTCACACCATGGTGTTGCCACAACACCTTCGTCAGGCTCACATTCTTGCCTTTTAAAAACTGCTCTTAGTTATCCATAATACACATCGGTCCCTCCTCGAAGGTCTCATCTGCATCAACCACTAGCTCACCTCAATTCACCATATGCATAGAATCTGGAGTGTACTTCCGGAGCATGGAGACATAAAACACTACGTGAACACCCAATAGATTTGGAACTAACTCCAACTGATAAGCGACTGGGCTAACCCTCTCGAGTACCTCAAAGGGCCCAATATACCTCGACAAACTTCCCTCACTTCCCAAACTTGACCACTCTTGTCTTGGGCATCACCTTCAAGAAGACGTGATCACCATCCTCAAACTCCAAAGGTCTCTGTCGCCTGTCGGCATAGCTCTTCTACCGACTTTGTACTGTAAGAAGACACTTCCATATCAAGTCCACCTTCTTCGAGGTGTATCTAATCAAGTCTGGAGCCATAGAGGACACTCTCCAACCTCTGTCCAACAAATCAGAAAATGACACGGCCTCTAATAAAGTGCCTGAGAGGGTGCCATCTATATACGTATTTGATAACTGTTGTTGTAGGTGAACTCTACTAACGGTAAGTGTTATTCCCTACTACCCTTGAGATCAAGGACGCATGCCCATAGCATATCCTCTAAAGTATGGATGGTCCTTTCTGACTGACCGTCCATCTAGGGATGAAAAGCTGCCAATTGAAGAGTAATTAGGGTTGGCTTCAACTCCTCAAGTTGTAATTGTTCATACACTGAAAAGGGTAAGAGGTTGACACTTGCTTCCAAGTCTAGAAATGCTTGCACCACACGACAATTTCCAATGGTTATGGCAATGGTAGGGCAGTCGGGAACCTTGAACATGGGTGGGGTGTTGGTCCTTAAAATGGAGCTCACTTGTTTTGTGAAGAAAGTCTTCTTGTGCACATTCAACTTGCTCTTTATGGAGGACAAATCTTTTAATATCTTGGCACAAAAGGGTATTTGCTTGATGCCGTCAAAGAGATGAATGTTTATCTTTACCTGCTTAAACATTTCAATAATATCCGAATAGTTACCAACTTTAACATGTGACTTCAAATGTTGGGTAAAAGGGGCCGAGATAGGATAATCATGCACATTCAAGTCAACAATCTTTTGCTTTTCAAGTGTTTCACCCTCCTTGGAGCTACCCTTAGTATCTTTTTCATTTTTCAATGTGGCTTTGGGTGAGACTTTAGGTAAAATGATTTTATGTCACTCCTAAGCGTGGTGACCATCTTGAGTTGCTCACAACTCTCTTTGGTAGCCTTGGACGATTCAATCACGTGTTGACCCCTTGGATTTTATTGAGGTTAAGTGGGAAATTTTCCTTTCTCTTGTTGGGACAACCCTATAGCATTGGTCAACTTAGTAATTTGAATCCGGATGTCATTAAAAGTGGCGGAGGTTTGACTGTTTATTATGGTTTGCCTTTGAATGAATTGATGCACGACATCTTCCAAATTTCTCTTGTGATGAGGTTGGTAGATGGGCGGGTTGGGTGGTCCTACTTGACCAAACCATTGTTGAGGTGGATTTTGCAAAAACCTTTGTGGATTAGACCATGGGTATTGGGAGCTAAATAAGGAACCATGACCATAGTATGACTGATTTTGCTTGGGTGGAATGAGAGGTGACAATGAGCTAGACCCATGAGAAATAGGGTTGTCATTCTTCCAACTAAAGTTCGGGTGGTTGCTCCATTCCAGATTTTATGTGTTGGAGTGTAGAGAGAATGATTGCCCACTTTGGTTGAAAGCATGCACTTGCTCATGATATACCTCTTTACGTGCCAGAATGTTTGGGCACTCTAAAATAGAATGCTCAACACTCTCACATATAAAGCAAAACTCCTCGGCCTTTGTGAAGTTAGACACCTCATGCCTCTCCACCTTGCGGGACAATTTCGTTATTCTAGCAAGCAAGTCTTCTTGGTCACACAAGGTATACATTCCCCCTCCACTTGGTTGATTACCTGGAGAGGACCTTGGCACGTCGGTGGGATCTGTGATATCCCAAGATTGGGCATTTCTTGCCAATATGTTAAAGTACTCAAGGGCCTCACCGACATCCTTACTTAGAAACTCTCCGTTGCACATTACATCGATGAATTGTCGATGGCCCGGTGTAATATCTTCATAGGAGAAACTCACCAATTGCCATGGTTAGAATCCATGATGTGGAATGGAGTGTAACAAGTCCTTGTATGTATCCCAACATTGATAGAACTACTCATTTGTTTTTTCTAAAAGTTTTGAATTTGTTTCTTAAGAGCAATTGTCTTAGGCATCAAAATTTATTTTTTTAAATTCAAAAAGCATTTGTGGCCAAGAACTTATTGAGTGGGGTTTCAATGAGTTCAACTAAGTTTTTGCTTTGTCTTTGAGAAAGAAAGGAAATAATTTCATGTGTGCCATGTCTACCATGTCATGATTTGTAATGAATGTTCCATCTATTTTCTCAAATTCCTCAATGTGAAGGTAAGGATTTTCTCTTTCCACTCCGTCGAATTTATGAAGCAATTGCAATATGCCCAGTTGAACAAAGAAGTCATGCGCTTGCATGGGTAGAAGTATGCATGAGGGGGTGGTGCTTTGATTTAGTTGGAGATAATCCCTCATTGACTCACCTGAGGATCAATTAGGAGATTATTTTCTTCATTTCTCGGAGGGGCGAATTGCATTCGGGGGTTTGGCACTCGGGGGTTTTGCATTCCCCCAACCCTCAGATTATTGGCACCATTATCCCCGAAATGTTTTATGGCATCCTCGGGTGGGTCTTGATTAATATTCATATTTGGTTCTAGGGCACGTCTCACTAGCTTATTTTGATTATCACGTCTCCACATACAAAAACACTACTCACAATAAAAAGAAGTATACTCAAATATGTACAAAAGAGCAGTGTTATCAGAATCGGACCAGACCGGCCAGTCAGACTGGTTCAACAGTGAACCAGGACCTAGATCGGTCTGGTTTCCTAGTTGGACTGCATAAGGCAGTGAACCGGCTATAAATCGAAAAATTGGCTGATTTTTATAAAAAATCATGAATCCTGTGATTTTATAAAAATCGGACAGTTTAATACCCATTTGAAAATTAAATTACATAAATAAATTAAACACAAATTTTTGCAGGATTTGGGGCTTTTTTTTGCCCTAAATCGCAGAACAAAAGGCACCACCACCACCAGGCTCTAGCAACATCAAGGCCTCAGGCGACTCCTGGACTTCGACTGCGATCAGTGGCATCAGCCACAACGATTTGCGACTAGGGAGGGATCTTTGACGACGACCAATGATCTTCGACTGTGATCAGCGAACCCAAATTGCTATTAGCCACTGCGACCTACGAACCCAATGAACCCAAGCTGCGATCAGCGAACCCAGCAAGCTCAGGCGTCATCTCCTCCCTTTAAGGTAAAAACTTTCTTTCATATCTTATACAAAAAAACTATGGTTTGTGTTTTTGGGCATAATATGATCTAACCAGGTTTGTGTTTGTGTTTTTGACTGTGAGTCTGTGACAATGTGACTACATCTTTTATTTTTTTATTTTTTAGTATGACATGTGATGTTTGTTTCATTATTT